AGAGCTAATATTTACAGATAGTGATCTGGCAAGGTTTAGAATATATAGTAAAATATATAAAATAGGTAAACATAGGCCAATTTAAAATTAAAAATTAAAAAATTGTAAAAGTTAAAATTGAATATTAAAATTACTAATTGAGTAAATATAAAAACTGCATGTAATGACGTGATGTCATCATGACCATATACAATAGGCATGTCACATGTCTTTGTCAAATAAAATGTGAGTGTGTACAGGGGTTTATGTGCATTGTTCATTACTTATTTAGCTGTTATTGTCCTTGTATCTCTAGTTGTGAAGAGCTGCAAGGTTGGTTCAACAGGAGGCGCTATATAAATCTTGAATTATTAATTTTATTATTATTTTTATTATTATTATTATTATTATTATTATTAATGTCTTTGTTCAATTCAATTTTAGAAGCACTGTGTATAAGGATTAGGGATTATGTGAATATATATATATACTTTGGTAAGGCCCTATAATAAATATTAATATTTGTTTATCACCCTATCTAGGCTTTTTTTTTTTAACTTTTTATTTTGCTAAATATCATACTTGGGTTGTTTTTTGGTGCATTAATCCTCAAAGTAAAACATGATTGAGATAATACAAACAATATCTACTAACTATTAAATAAAACAAATTATGATACATTTTTTTTTTTTCAAAAAAATATTTCTTTTTTTCCCGTATCATAGAAGACATGCGTACGAGGGTGGTAAACTAATAATTTTTTATTGGGCCTAATATTACTATTATTTTGATCATTTTTAGGATAGAGATTTATGAAAATATAAATTTGAAATTTTGGCCTATATATTGATATGAAAATTATTTATGTAGAATAAATAATCCCAAACTTAGTAGTAAACTACAAAAGTAGTTTATTATAATTATTTAATTTATTGATTTAGGACCCTTAATAAAACTTTTTATAGAATCTGGGATTGAATTTATGGAGAGGAAAGGGGTTCAATTTTCTTACAGTGTTTGCGGACTAGACCTTAAATAAAATTCAAATTTTCTTTATGCAGCTTCAATAGCTGAAAGTTTATTGTACACTTTATTTTATTTGGAAGGCAAGCATCTTAACCACCAAGTTATTCAAATCCATTCTGCTATTCAACTTCACTCCAAATCATTATCAATGATTATCACTCATATTCATTATATAAAAAATATTCTTTACATTATATTCTTTAATTATAACCAGTGGAGGTGTTTTATCCATACGGAAGTTTGTGATTGATATGTCATGTGAGGTAGAGAGTTGATCTCTATGCTGTAACGTTATGTTACAATCATGAGGTTTTGTGATGGAGTGCTAAAGTAATATTAAAGGGAAGAGACTATTCGTATGGTACCGTGTAAATAAGAAATTATTCCCACAGTACCCGTGCAAATTTGCATGGCAAATTAATAATGTGCTATGCTTACGGTGCACTAGTAGATAGTTTTTAAATCTAGTATTATTAATAATTATTATTTTTAACAACAAATGACAAAAATACCTACAAAAAACAATAACTTAATTAACAAGATATAAAAATAAATGAATAGAATATTAGGAATGAAATAGATAAATAAATATGAAATGGAAAAAATGAAATAGTTTTTAAAATGAACAAAATTGAACCTAGGGTAATTTGGCCATCAGAAATCATACTGACTGCTGGGCTACTCGGTTTTGATCGACGATTGAATGAAACAAGGCTTTATCGGCGCTTTTTTCAACCTGCATCATCACATCTTTCCAATTGTGTAGGTCTACCGTGTGAATAAGATCTTATTCGCACAATACAAATCAATCATTTTAATTCGATAATGAAAACCAATTCCTGAATTCACCTTGTACATTCTCATAAAGTTTATATATAAAGAGTAGTTTATTACCATTTGAATAGAAAGTTAACTAGAAAAGAAGAGTTTATTTAAAATGATCAAAAGAATGTACTTAATTCTTTCACATGGCCTGTTTTTCATTTAACATGGTGTCAATCTTCTGGCTATACCTCTGTTAATGCAATTTCATCACTCAAGGAATTGTAACTAAATTGAATTAAATTTTATTCGTCATCACTTAAAAAAAAGCATTACAAACATCAAATGTAAGAAACATCAAGTTACCAAATTATTTTTTTATTGTGTAGCGTTTTATTCAACAATGAATACTTTGTCATTCGACACAAATTAGTGTGAAAAGAAAAGAGCTAAAAACAAACAACTTACAAGGCACAAACTGCTGGTCATCCCTGTATGTTGGTGTTTTTTTTTTTGTTTTTTTTTAATTATCCATTTATTTATGTTCCAGTGGGATTTTCTTTTTTTACCAAATTATATTGAGGTAGATAAAAAGGCTCGAAGTCAGAAGTTAAAAATTGCAGTAAAAATAGTCATTTGTGGAAATGTAAACATTTTATTTATTTATTTTTGTATACACCCTTCAAACAGAATGATGGCAATGCCCAGATACCCCCATTAAAGTCTAAGATGACTTATTTTCAGTGGGGTCTAAAAAAACATTATCTAATAGTCAATATAAAAAAGATAATGAATAAAAAATGAAATGCTGATAGTTCACATACAAATATAAGCAAAGTAATTATAATGTTAATATTTGATTTGTATTAGCATCTTTCTTGATTACAAATCTTGAGTACAAATCATAGTCAATTCTATTTGTCATAAATCATTAAAATGCAATGAGGATTTATATATACATTAATTACTATGAATTGAAGTATTGAATCCCAACATAATAGCATGTCTATAATAATCATTATACTTTATATTAAGGATAAAAATGCTTTTATAGTAATACCATTTATTCATATTGGCAATAAAACATTAATATAAATATCAAACCATCAAACCAACATCTAGTATTATTAAAGTGACCTTTGTAAAATGAGGCAGTATTAACAAAGAGGCAATAATAACAAAGATTGATATAAAAAGTAGGAATATTACTTATAATGATTAATATTTTCTTTTCTGTAATCAAATATTAATAATTTGTTTATAACATAATGTCAAATAACTAGGAGAGAATTATTAAATAATTATTTACAGTAAACTGAGGAGTTTGAAAAGATGATAATGACAGATACTTAATTATCTTTTCTATCAAACTAAGGAATCAAGGAGATGGTAATGACAGATACATTATGACAAGGAGATTAAACTATTATAAACTTATTCAGATTCTCTATGAATGTTTGTTTTTTTTTAATGAATATTTAAATTTTATTTCAGATTATAATCCAACTGGTAAACTGGTGAACCTTGAAAATGAACAGACGGCAGAAGAAAACATCAAGGCTAAAAAGGAACATGGTACATGTATATTCATATGTATTAAAGAGCTCCCTCAAACTCACATCTTCTTCACATGTAAACTATATACGAACAAACATGCAATAGTAATTTATAGCCTAGGCCAAGCTTATGGATATTACTTTTCAACAAGGATGAAATGAATGGTGAAGGCTCAAAATGATTTATGACATAAACTTATGAACGAGTCTTGTGAACTGAGGTTATTTTCTTAACAACCAATTGTGATTCTATACAAATTTTACATTTAGAGGGGAGGGGGAAAAAGCTGAACAACTGGGGGATCTGGCATTTTCTCCCCCTGCTGGTGCCACAAGTGTTTCTAACACCTTTTTTTAAGGGGCTAAAAAGAAAGTTTTTGCTCATATATCTCCTCTTGTATCTCTGAACTAATGTTGTCTTTATAAAAACAAGCTTTTTGGTTGTTTGATTGATTGATTGATTGATTTATTTATTTTCCACATAATGAACAAAAAAAAAACATATACATGATTAAATATATTCAAAAAAATCTATGTGGATGGAGACCACAATAAGTTTTTAAAAAAAACTTTAAGACGTGGCCACCATTAAAATAAAATAAAATATACAGAAACTAAAAACATTAACAAATAGTAATAAATGAACACTTATGTGTCAATATTTATCAAGGGGACACTTATGGTACATTGACACAGCACAGCATTAAATTAATTTATGAAATGAGTTAGATTTGGACATGGAGCCCCATGTAATTATTTCGAAGATATAATAAAAGACGATTAATTAATGTTCATGAGATATAAGTTTTGGTTGATAAATTGAAGGTTAAAGTGATCGTTGACAATAATTTATTGTAAGATAGATATTAAAATGCTTGGGGTAGATAGCTATCACATTTTTTAGGCAGCAATCAACAAGATATGAATCATTGATAATATTAAAACCAGTTTCAAACTTATTGAAAAATGATAAATCTTTTGCAGATGTTTTCGATGTACACAACAACCTGGATGTGGACACCTCAGCCGGCATGCATGTCGCATCATCAGTCCCAAGCAAAAAAGATGACAGAATAAAGAATCAAGTTTTCATTATAACAAACGAGAGGTGAGTAAGATTGATGGACGAAGGCAATTTGAAATCATGTGTCAATTTGGTGCTCAAAGGCTTGTTGATGAACGTATGTTTTCCACTGCTTTTTCCACTGTGCATCCAATTATGTACAGTAGTCCTGAATTACGTATTGGTATTTTATTTTGAGTAATTGAAAAACATTAAATTTTAAGATATTTCACACCAAAAAATTCAGAAAGAAGAAAGAAACCTCAAAAATTTCAATTAAAATTTTGAAAAGTTCATTTAAAAGGATCAAATATGTTATTATCTTCTAACCAGAAACAGACTGAAAGAACATTATTTTTCACTGGTTTACAGATATTTACTACAGATTTCCTTAAATTGATTAACAACCTACAGTATTTAAGGGTCTGTGCAATAGAATACAGGAGGTCGTCAACTGATGGGGATTTTTTTTATTTAGATTTTTAATAGTAAGTTAACTTTATTTAAGAATACAAATTAAGAAACTTAAATACAGTTTTTTTTTTTCATTTTTTAAAGCTTTTTATAGGCAGTCAGTATATATCTTTATTGTTTGCAAATGCTATCAACAGCTACTATCCTCTGTATAACAACGATACAACATAATATAAATTAAAAATCCTATTGGGGACTTGATGGAACATGAGAACATGAGTGGATAAAAATACCATTAACAAATTTTATAGCTATCAGAAAATATTTATTCACAAGGTCAAGGCTATATTGAAGAAGAAATTTAAGTACTGAAGGTAAATTTCTTAATAGCTATTCTCAGCTACATATTGGTTTAAAAAAAATAATACATTGTTATACATCTAACTATACCATATGGCTTATTTTTGTTGTATTATTATAATTAGGATTATTGATTGTTGTTATTGATATTGTTGTTCTGTTTTGTTATGTTATTGTTATTAATATGATTAATTTATTATTACCATTATTAGTTTTGTATTGGTTTAAAAACAATAATACTAAACAATTGTTACATTTACATCTATCTAACTATTTAATATGGCTTATTTTTGTGTTATAATTAAGATTATTTATTGTTGTTATTGCTCTTATGTTTTGTTATGTTATTGTTATGAATAATTTATTATTATTATATTTTTATATACTGTATCTTTAACATTGTTTTTAAATATGCTTGGTTTGATACATGAAAGTTGAATACAATCATTCAAAAATAATAAATTCAACATGATTAGCAATTGACATGTCAATCTTAAAAGTCAAAGCATGTGCTGAACAACTTAATTGAAAAGAGTAATTTGCAGTGAAAAGATTACTTGTTTCGTAAGCTGATTCGATTCTGTAACCATTTAATACTTCACAAATGTGTTTTCAATCATTATGAGATTAGCTCTAAAATAACACTGAGAATTAGAAAGGTAAGTATCAGTGACTGTTCCAGGAATTCAAAAAAAAGGGGGGCCCAGGGAGGGATTTTCACAGATGGGGAGTCTAGACCACCTCAGCCCCAACCATGGTGGGGCTGAGGAAGAAAATATATGATTATGGCACCTCTAGATGGCCAGAAGTGGCACTCACAGACTTAAATTGGACTATTTGTTTTTCTCCATTTAAAAAATACTTTAAGGAGGCACGTGTAACCCCTTTGAATCCGCCAGTGGTATCAGTAATCCTAGCAATTTTAATGGTCCAAAACTGATTTTCCATTGTGATACAATTCTGGTCAGATCTTAAACATAAATGGCGCCCTCTTTTGAGAATTCTTCTAATTATATGCACAGCTCTGCATTCAGCTTGAGCATCATAATGCCGCGATCATTAATCTGTCTTTATTATTTAACCGGATACGGTCTCGCATAGTGAAGATGAATTATAATAGTTTTACAAACCAAATACAATATCAGTTGAAGCGACATGAATATTAAATCGTATGTAGCTTATCTTTATATGGAAATTTAAATATTAATTACATACTATTAATCCATCCATGAATTCCCTTATTAATTATGCATTATTTTTACTACAGTGAAATGCCTATAATCACATGTAAATGTTAAACTTAATCCGGAGCGTTTTTACACTTACATCAGTGGACGTTATGTGGAGATAGATAAATCACATAATCTGTGCAGAATATTTTTGTGCATATATAACCTCCCTTTTGAAATTGCTTCTCCAAGTTTCTTAAGTAATGTATAAATACAATTATACACGGAGATAACACAAATGTTAGGAATTTAAGAAAATATCCCTGTTGCAGTAATGGCATCAGTGGTGTATTTGCAAGCAGTGGTTAAACATCTAAAGGAGGCGAACAAATAGACAAAAAGCTTTCATCGTAATTGTCTGAAACACGATACTTGGTCTACCATTTCTCTTTATTATAAAACGTTAATAATGTTTACAAAGAACAGAGACTCCAATCCTTTTGTAATACAGTTAGAAAATCTTGTATGTACACTGGTAGTAGATTTTGTAAGAAGCATGTGAGAGGATGCTGGTCCAGAATACTTGCAAAAGATGTTGCCAAAAAATATAAAAACAGACCTTATAACGTCCACTATATTTGATGTGTGGATGAGTTCATGCTTCAACGCCCAAGTATCATACCAATTTTGTGTTAATTATAATGAATTTAAGTAACATTTTCCAATTTTCATGTATGTATATCATAATTGAAATAAGTTCAAAACAATAATTTAGTAAAAGTCTTTTTGACATGAATAAAGCCTGACTATAAAATTTACAAAAAAAGTATATGATTATATTTTTCATTTCGTTTGGTTATTTTTTGTGCATGTTGTTCGTTATAGCTTAGGACAGCAGGATGGGGAAATGGTTGTCGAGCAGCTCCGTGACATGTTGCAACTACCAGAGGATGCATTTATAAACACACGGTAAGTAAATTAAATTACTTTTACAAGTGTGTTGAAATTAATGCTGGATAACCAGATATTTCTATAGCAGGTGAGAATGCTGTATTCAGGATAGACAATTTATTTATAGATTGAAATTTCTATGTTAATTGTCTTTTAGTCCTCCAAACAAATTAACACATAGATTTCTTATTTTGTTTCTACAAACTAAAAAAAAAATAAAAAATCATTTGACATCATTTCTAAAATGCAACCTTTAACCTCCGGTTGATTGAGTGATATCTGTATGATTTACTTGTAACCTCTCCGTTTAAATATTCTAAAACATTGGTGGTGAATGAGAATTCTATTTCATTGGTTAACGAGATAGCACACATTTACGTTAGCGTGGGGTTTTAGTAATGACTGGAAAGAGCCGGATTCTGTTAGCGGCTCTGCATTAGGTCAGGGGCATTGCGGATGATGGATTACATTTACGACCTCCGATTGTTTCATTGTTGAAAACATCTCTGAATGGCTGCCTTTGGAGTTTTATATATGCAGTTGCTTGTCATGCATGCTGCTTCTGAAGATTATTTCGTTAGTGCAATTGCTTAACATGTAGGCCTAGATAGCATGTCACAATCCTTATTCCATGGCCATATATTATTATTATTATTATATTATATCATGTGAAGCTCAAACCACACTATCAAATTATGTGACAAATTTGTGTGATGTGTCCATATTTGGCATGATGAGGTCATATTATACCCAAATATATATATATTTTTTAACTATTAAGACCAAGCTAATGACTTGCTTTTTCCATCAAGTTTTTCATTAATATAACATATCCATATTCTGTTTTTACACAGTACATTGAGAGCTTGCTTATATCCTATATAAGAATGATCTATTATTATTATTATTTTTATTATTATTATTATTATTATTATTATTATTATAGTGTAGACAGAGCTTAATTAATATTAATATATTGCGCAGATTCACAATGAAGTTTCCGAAAATTATATGTTTAAGTGCTGGGGTGGTAATTATATAATGCGTGGTACCAATTTCAACAATCAACAACACTGGTAGCAGAAGGATATGTGGGTTCTGATTGAGTATAACATGTAGACTTAAGACCATGGTCTATAGTCAAGTTGGTTTGAAATAAAAATATATATATGTACAGCGGCGGATCCAGAAATGTTTCTGATGGGGGGGAGGCACAATATGAAGTCCACGCCGACCTCTGCCCCACCATGGTTGGTGTAAATAATCGTGCTCTCCTTTCTGCCACTGCTGGTTCGCCACTGAACTCATGGATGCACTCCCTTTCCCCGCTTTTCCTCTCTTTAACTCAAATTGTCTCTCTTTCGGCTTGACCGACGGGGGGCGGGGGGGATGTATATATATTTAAAAAAACCAAATTTAAAAGAGAAATATGAATTATGTTGATTTGTTCATACTGAATACTGTATTCATTCCCTTCTAACATCTCTGGAAATTGAGCCTCTAGCAGGTTACCCAGTAAATAATTAAAACCTGTTGATCCACCTGATACTAGGGTGCCCTGGGCTTCTAGAGCCTACTATGTTTCCTTCCTGTAAGGACTTTTTTCAAGGCTCTTTAGATATCTTGCTATCTAGATTTGTGACCAGCTATCGTAGGCAAATTTAGTTGATGTTGGATCCCTTAAAACATCCAGGTTAATGTTAATATTTGCTCAACATTTTTTCAAAAGTCTTCATTTTTATTTGTATTAGTCCTAATAAAAGAAATTATTAGTTTATCACCCCCGCGCGCATGTCTTCTATGGTACTAAATAAAAAAAATTAGTTTGGAGAGAAATAAATTCCCTTTAATACGAATTAAGAGTAGCAGAATCTCCTTGCCATACAAATTACAGCTCCCACTGGCGTCTCAGTCGAGAAATACAGGTAGCTGAATTTTTTCTCGCAAATCTGACTAGGAAACCATACCGAAATTTCATGTTCCACTACTGAATCTGAGTTGTGCTTCGCACACGTCGCTGAGGGCGGTATTCCGGGAACCCTGCGTCTAGCTATGTGACCAGCTAACGTAGGCAAATTTAGTTGATGTTGGATTCCTTAAAACATCCAGGTTAATGTTGTTTGCTCAACATTTTTTTCAAAAGTCTTAATTTTTTTTTTAAATCAGTGTATTATTCACTAATTTGTAATCATCTGAAGTAGGAGATTGATTTGTACTGTTTGACAGGCCCCTTCCTCTGTCTAGGTTTGAATGATCTTTTTTAATATAACATTAGCCTAATTCTTTGCATCCAGAAAAGTGTGAATGCCTAGAGGTTAAGTTAATGTCACAAACAACTCCAAAATCTCTCCCTTCATCCAAAACCAGCGTGCTGTCGCTAAATTTTAAACTGAGTAATTAGCATAGAATGTGACAGTATTGTATACTGTAGTAGAGAGAAGCCGTAATACAACTTTTACTCTTAACTTTGTCAATAGTAAGTCAGTTCCATTAATTGACTATCATTTAGAAGCCTATGATTTGGAGAATATATTAAAAAGTCAATTTTCTTGTTTGATCTCTGATGCTGATTTTGGCATATTTAAATGCTTAAAAGCCCCATTTATTTATTAGAAATACTTTTTAATTTCTCTGTTTCTAGTTATAATTAAAGAAGTATTGTTCCATAAACAATACCCACAAAATATAAAAAACTATTTTTGAAATGAACTTGCTCATTTTGAAATAACATAAAAATTATCAAGTTGAACATAGAAGTAAGTGGATTTAAATAAATATTTACCCATGACTTTACAGCAAAAAAATGATAGAAACACATCTAGTCACTGAAGTGTTTTTATTAATTTTTTTCCAGTATAAATCAGGGCACATTTTTAAAACTTAATAACTTCTATGCTTAAACTTAAAGGTTACTGCAAATATTTTTTTATGATGTTTGTCATTTTCAGGGGAAAATACAGTACATCTTTACGTATTTGTACACTTTTTAATAATCTTTCATTGCCTTTGAAGAATCCCAAAAATAATAAATATTGATAAAAAAAAAATATTTTATTACTTTTTATCTCATCTGTCGTATAATTATACTCATGGTTATCTTGATGTCTGCATACTTTTAAATAATCATATGAGAGTTTCATAATTGCACTCTAAAAATTGATATCAGGTAATACATATTTGACCCTTGACCTCTGTATCTGCATTACTCTCAATATTGCTGCCCTTTTTAACTTATCAATAATGTGTAAGCTGACATCGCACAAACATAACATCACAATTGAAAAACACTGTTAAACACGGTCAGCCAATATCCTGTTATAAATTTATTAAAATTTTCCAAATTAGTATATTGTATTCACAGGAATTGATTAACAATATCATATTCTATATGTATTTTTATCCATCTGTTTTTTGGTTTTTTTTTATTCAAAAAAGTTAAATAATAACACATTTTCCACAACATACAGATTATATTAACATATTCAATCAAAATTTTACCTAACCATATGCAACAGTGTTTTTAAAAAAATATTATGAATATGCATGTAATATTTATACATGAATAAATTTTATTTAATATCTGCTAAGTTAACCTTCCGTGTGCATGAACAATAATTACTGAAAGTATTATTCTGTGATATGATAAGGATAACAATTATAATGACCATGACAGTGGCAGTGTGAAGTGAATCTTTCTGCTAAGCCCAGTTCATTGTTGCTATAGGGTCCTACAAACGACAGCTGGGGCAGATGCAGGTGGGGTGCAGATGGTGTCATGCCCCCCCCCCCACCATTATATTAAGAAAAATAATTGTTGTATTGTATTAATTTTGATATATTATTTTTGTCACAAACAACTGAGCACAAAATACCCTTTTTTTCCCCTGTTTTAAATGGCCACTTTACAAACTTTGATTTGTTATCAGGCTTGTAGTAGGAGCATAGTTTTAGCTGGTGTATGTCAAGAAATTGCTCTAAATAGAGTTCTTTTGGAATTTCAGATTGGTTTTCTAGAATTTGATGATTATTCAACAAAATATTGTAGGAAATTCTAAAAATTATTTATCTTACACACTACTATTTTGTGAGATATCCTTAAATGACCATAGGCCTAAAAATCACATTTGACATTTCCTGCATCGTTATTGCAAAAGAACACTCCTGTTAGGGGATAAAACGTCTGAATACATTAGAGTGGATAGGGAATTAACGAGTCAAAAGCATCGGCATATATGATAGCACACTGTCACAAGTACAGGATTTCATCTGAAGTGGTCACCCGTAGCAACGGCTTGTATGCTTTGTTTAGCGTATGCAGGAGCACCGTATCTTCATTGCGGCCACTTTTAGGGTTCATTAATCATTGAAATCATATGTGCAATAATGCAGCCTCTAGCTATGTAAACAATGCTTGATATATACCACTTAAAGCTATTCTTCCTCCATGTTCTGCTGTACGTCTACCTTTTAAAATTTATTCAAAGCAGTTTGAATTTCAGTCTATATAATGATAAAGCAGAGCCTATTATCAAATCTTGGATATTTCTCTGTTATGTCTAATTTCACTCAATTAATATTTAACATAAAAACATGAATATTATTCATTAAAATTACATTATTAAAAAAATTACAAGAGGCAAGTAAAGTGAAGAAAACAAATAAAAATCAAACATTAGTTAAAATATTCAGAAAGAAACAAGTGGAGAAAATAAATAAATACAAAAACAAACAAAGAAACACAAAAATAGTAAAACAATTACAAGAAAAAAGACCTTGAAAAGAAGAAGAAAGGCAAAGAACATAAAAAATGGAAGACATATTTCTGGATATTAAACAAAGTAAGAAAAGAACAAGTTTATGAAACGTTAAGAAAACATCAAAAACATTTAAAAAAAACCAAAAAATAGGTAACATTCAGCGGCATAGCTAGGTGAGAACAGGCCCCTGTGCAAGGTTATATTGCCTGGCCCTTTGATGTGAACCATCAACCGAGGGTCGTACGCCTGAGTTATGGCTAG